TTCTCCAAAAAGGCTTTTTTTAAAATAGAGTTAATAGAAGGGCGATCTCTTGGAGAAGTTCTAAACAACTGGGATATTAACAATCTCAGATCGGAAGAATACTTCACAGACACAGGAATGAAATGGCCTCTGCAGATCTTCATTATAAGTTGGGGCAAATTGTTGCCTTCAAACTATCACATGAAAATAAAGTCAACATGTTGAATTGAAACAGTGATTTAAACAGAAATACATAACAGTACTTACCTAAAATAAAGGACAGATGAGGGCAGAATAGTCTTAAGTCTTCTTTTAATAGCACTGTCCAATTCATCAGATCATTTCATATCTACTATTTCTCACTGATGATATCGTCTGCTTCCCTTATTTGTGAACTACCACCCTGCTTATCAAAAAGTACTGCAACGGCAGTCAAAGTATGTCCTACTTTACATTATATTACATTATACCCCCAAAAATCCATTACTAAAACACATCTAAAATGTTAAGGCCATGTGACTGATTCTTTCACAAATGGTTGACACTGGAAATGACTTACCCATTCATATTTATTTGTTTGTTTGTTTGTTTGTTTGTTTGTTTGGTTTAGCTTATGGTATATCATATGTGGACTAGCAATATATATTAACATTCTACTTAGAGTAGTAATATACACTAAAATATAAATGTTAAAAAGATCAGTGTTCAAATACCAATATCCAGGCCATCTAATCACTGAAGCGCAGCATTGTTTATATTAAAAAAAAATCAGATACTGATCCAGCATATGCCCTCAGCTTACAGATGGTCACTATGTGATCGCAGTCACATTGAGGGGAGGATACTATGCTCCATTTATCCATCCCGGCAGATGCCATGTGAGGTGCGAATCCTATTCAGGACTGTCCATTGCTGATGTGATTGTTCAAAGTGTGGCACCTTTTTTGTGAGGTTTATGTCTGGGCGCTCAGCGACCCATTTGGCTTTCCATTTGAGAATCAATGTGAAAGTTGTTGGACAGATATTGTGCAAGTGCCAATGGGGGAATCCTGGATTTGAGTCTTCCAGCTGATAAATGAGAAAGATCAGCATGCAGTAAGGAACCAGAAGGAATATTATTCCTCGGTAGGAGTAATAAAACAATAATTTACCAAAAGGCAAGCCCATCTAAGTCCATTATTTTATTCTCATGGTAGCCAACAAAGTGCTAAAAGAATCCCAGAGCAAGACAAAAATACCACAGCACAGTTGTGTTCCTAACATTTTACGTCAAGATGCATATTCTTTCAATAAAACATATGTAGTCATTATGTCTAATAGAAATTGTTAGCCTTATCAGTTGTGAATTTTTCTATTTCTCTTCTGAAATCGTGGTAATTTAGACATTTAAAGAAACTTTTTTGATGGAGTATTTCTTTCTATCTGAAAAGGGAAACTCACACGATATTACTACTATAAAACTGGTATCTTTCTACACTGTTCAAAATGTTGATTCTAATAGCTTGTCACTAAACGATCTCAATAAATATTTAGTTATGACGGTATAAACATTTACTTACAGGATGCTTTAAAGTACACAACTCATATAACACACAGCCAAGAGACCATATATCTCTATAAAAGAAAATAAGAAATTAGAAGAATTAAAATAATATTTAGTAACCCAGCAAAAACATCTATTCCAACTATGTGGTTATGCAAAAAGTTGATTATTCATATTCTATTTAATATTATTTATAATATACTATTTATTAACACATTGTTATTATAGCTACCAATAGTCCCTGCTTAACAAACGGTTGCTCTAATTTTGAAGTTTTGACGATTGCATCCCTCCCAAGATCATGTGATTGTATTTTTGGTGCTTGTCAATTGGCTCATGTTTACCAGTCACGTGACCACAACCTCTGGCAATTTTTGCCAGCATCCAGTATTTATTTCCAATTTCTGGCAAAAAAAAAAAAAAAAAGCCCATTGAGTATAATGGATTCATTTAACAACTGCCATAGAAAAGGTAGTAAAATCAGGTCCATGACCAGTGCTTTTTTTGTTAAAAAAAAAAAAAAAAAAAAA